TTCAGAGCTTATTCAATAATTTTCTTTACTCTGGACAATTGCCATGTTGTTGTTACTTTACAGCTCATACGGAACCACGTCAGATACCATCTGAGGCATAAGTGTATGAGCAAAAGAAACAGTACTACCTGATGTAGAAATGATATACAAACTTATAAAATGCATTCTTTGACACATATTTTAATTTTTTATAATGCCAACCTTAACATAGCACAGGTAAGAAGCATTTGAGAACTGGGACTCTAGTCAGAAAAACATGGGGGGGGGTTGCATTAAGTTTATCTTACTTGCCTTATGAGTGTTTTTGACAGAATATATTATCAGGCATCTTCTTAAATGCAGACCCTTGCTAACTACAGCAGCTGATACAAAATACCAAAGCCAGTCATTCCAGATAACTTATATTAGTCCTAAATCTGCCACCATTGAACAGATTAGAAACCGACTACTTGTAGGTCTCAAAATCTAACATGAAATGAAAAAACATCCTAAACCAGGTATTTTTCTAATGGAAGTCTGTATCAATTGGTTTTGGTCCTAAAGAATTTTTTTCCTGACAATAGCTTGGAAGAAAAAATATTTTCTGATAAATTTTGCAGCTAATGGGAAAAATTGGAGGAGTTATAAATAATAAAGAGAGATGGTCATGGACAGAGCAATAGGGGCTATTTAGCACATCAGCCACCATAATCAATATGCAATTAATACTTCCAGGAACACAGAATTTTTGTTTTAACAGCTTCTCATTGTTTTAAATCCTTTGCCTTGTTTTGAAGGTCTTCTGAGATGGATAATTTACTGGTGCCTTTCATACTTCAGTGTTTAAATTACCCTCAGTGTTTAAAAATCAGTGTTTATATTTCAAAGAGTGCTCATTATTTGTAAAGTGCTAATGACGATTTGCCTCTAAAAAAACCATCACCACAAAAAATGCTGGAAGTACTGCAGGAGCAGAGAAGAAGCCCCTCCGTTCCTGCTAGCAGCTGAGATGCCAAGGCTGTCCCATCATTCAGGAGAATGCAGTGTTGGAAATGTTACACACGGTGAACTGGTAAAGCACTGGGACACAAGTATGGTAATAAAGACAGATCAGGATGGCACGCAGCTTCCCTCCTCCTTCTTTCATCTTTTGCTTTTTTTTTTTTTTTTAATCTGTAATTTTTTCAAAATAAATAAGTTTTTTCAAAAGTATTTACAGTCAACCAGAAAGGAGGAGGAGCAGTCAGGAAGAGAGGAAACTGCAGAGCAGGAAACTGGAGCAGAGCATGTCTGTGTGCCACTCGCATAACCCGGCATGGGGCCCTTCAAAATGTAATCCTGTTTGTGTCACTGTTTGCTACACTCCCTAACTGGATTAAAAGGAAAAAGAAGAAGACAAATCCAAATCCTCCCAGGGCTATCTTTGGAACATCCTCAGAGATTAATGACAGACTCATGAATAGGAAACTGTTTATAAGACTCATTTGTGGAGTATCTCTGGATTAGGAGTTTGATGAATTTATAATAGTACAGGCAGAATAATGGAGAAAAACTTCAAAACAAACTTTTAAGGTTATTCTCAAGATTGTGTTGTCATTCTTCATTTGGGGCTAGTGTGATACAACCAACCTGTCTCTTTTTTTATTGTGCCTGAAAGAAAAAGAGAGTTTTCTAGGGTTAATTTATTTGTTATTTTGCAACTTTGGGATTAGTGAAGTGTGGATTTGTGAAGTGTGTGAAGTCTGGTGACATGCTTGCTACCTCTGGCTCCATGGGGAGGAAGATCTAGACTGACAGCAAGCTCCTGATATGTCTGAAACTGTAAAATAGGAAAAAATGAGCAGAACAAAGAATGCTTGAGACTGTGTCTCCATTGGAAGTATTCTGCATATTATGTGATATTCCAAACTTGAAATTGCCCAAGAATAGTAATTTGAGCACCTCATCCTCAAATTTGCAAACTTCAGAAGTCATACTCCTTCAAAATCATGGTATTAGCTTTAAAAAATATGGTACTAAAAAGAAGGCGTAGCAAAATAAACCTCATTAAATTCCTTAGGTTATCTTTCTTCTCCATCTTGTTCCTGAGTTTTAGATTGCATTTCAGAGATTTTTTTACATATTACACGTATTAGAAGCTTAATTTTTCCAAATGGAGACCGCAATATCCAGTTAATCCACAGATCAAGGAGCCGCTGCCCTGTGGCTCTTTGCAATGCTACTGGAACTGAGTCAGTCTTGAGAAAAGTTAGTCTTACATAAACCAGAATGTCCTCAGTGCCTGAAATTTAACTTTTAAGAATTGTCATAGGTGTTTGTGGGAATTGTGAACGTGAATCTTTTGCACTAGCCAAGGCTGATGGAGAAAATCATGTCAGGTAGAAGAAAAGTAAACAAGTGATTTAGAGACCCACTCGTCAGGTGGACCCCAGGGCCACTTTCAGAACAGAAATGTGTGTGCTCTGGCTACTGATCAGGACTGATTCCCTCTCCTTTTCACTCATAGCAAATGCTATTTATCACTCCTGGCTGACACTTCTGTTTGCGTACTGTGACCCCTTTAGAGGCAAAAAAAAAGTCACAATTGTTCAACACTGAGCCACCTTCTATCACTTGATCTGAAAAGACCTCTATTTGCCCCATTTATAAATAGCAGCACCTGGTATGCAATGAACTCAGAGACTGGATGTTAGGTGCTGTGTGGGTATATATTGCATAGGAGCTTCTAGCCTCTACATTGAAGAGCTTCTGGGTTTTCAGGTCTTAAGTATAAATAATCTTCTAGAAAGATTCTGCTGGGCAGGAGAGAGTATTTAGGGATGGGTTGTTTTTAGCTCAAGGTCTTTTCAACTCTCCTGTAAGTATGTAACAGAATAGCACGGATGATAACTAAATGTATGTACCAAACATCCATCTAACTGCTTGAATTACCAATACACCAATGCTGACTTATACTTCATTAGTTCATGGTCTTATTTTTAACAAAATATGTCCATGTTTAGTAATATTAATGCTGATTTTTGTTTAATGGATTTTTTTCTTAATGCCAGGCTGCTGATTACCTCAACCTTCAGGGATGATGGATAAATACATTGTAGAGAAATACACTGTAAAGGAATACACAGTTTACATATATTTTTTTGTTCACTTGGACTGTGGCTAACACAGGTCCTGCTGCTCCAGGTTATAATCTATATGACATGGATGTTTGAACACTGAGACCCTCTGCACAACTGATTCAAAAATAATTTGGAAAAAAAAAACGTGCCAAGCCTTAAATCTCTAAGGAGATAATAGGGGAACTGCTGTATTTACATGACCCACAGGGCCCATACTACCACATGACTGGTGTTTATTGCTTGCTTTAGGTTTTTAATCCCTCGATTTTCAAGCTAGCTTCATGAATCTGAGGGATCTATTGTCTGCGCCCTTGGAAATGGCAGTAGTATAACTTTTCTATTGTCTGCGCCCTTGGAAATGGCAGTACTATAACCCCAAATCTTTACCTGCACTTTTTCCAAGTTTAGCACTTCATATTACACCCAGGTACCCAGAAAGCAGCAACCCTCATCCTCACATGTCCCTCCTTCTTCTTACTTCTTCACATCACTGTACGTAAGCAAAATCCTTTAATGTTATTTTGGTGATCAGTGCGTTCCAAGAAAGGGATAAATTTACTCTCTAAGTAACTGACATTAGAAGCCATTTTGTAGAATAAATCTTCTCTGCAGTTATCACTGGAGCCTGATCTTCCCTCCCGTGATCTTTAGAATAAATATGGAAGGTCTTAAATTCCAAATTTTCTGATGCGTCTTTTCCTGATACTTTATTTTAAAAAATCCCAAATGAAACTTAGAAGCATTTTTTTAAATTGAGTTTGAGACGAGTTCAAATTGGGTCTGACTTAGGACTTTCTTAGATTGAAAACAATGTGTCTTTTCCTGATACTTTATTTTAAAAAATCCCAAATGAAACTTAGAAGCATTTTTTTAAATTGAGTTTGAGACATGAGTTCAAATTGGGTCTCACTTAGGACTTTCTTAGATTGAAAACAACACCTGCAAAACCCTAAAACTGTGTTACCTCTAACCTTGAGAAGTAGAAAGAGCTGTGAAATTTAAAGAAAATGCCTTGCCTGTGTTACCTCTAACCTTGAGAAGTAGAAAGAGCTGTGAAATTTAAAGAAAATGCTTTGCATATGTTTGTTTGTCTGGTTTTTTTTTTTTTTGCTACTGGGTATGAATCAGTAAGTGTGAGTTAAGACTATGACCATTCAAATGCAATATCCAGTGCTAGATGTGCAGCTCCTGGGTCTAATGACAGGGGCTGATACAGAGAAATATTAGTGAAGAACTTGTCAGTTTCCTAAATCACTCCTACTTTCCACCAATTCCTGCTTTATGATTACTATAACCCTCACCTGTGCTTATGGGCTTCTTGAGACTGTGAAGATAGTTCTGGAGTGGGAATTTTCAAAATTCTTTTGATTGCAGTTTTAATTAGACTCATTAATTACCACTGCGCTTTTTAATTATTTTCCTGTTTGTCAAATGTTCTGTATTACACGTGTAGTTAAAAAAGCTGGAAAACCACATTCTGTAAATTTAAAGTGATACAAATACTTCTCCTTTAGGAACTGGGTTGGGTCACAGGGCATGAAAGAACTGTTAAATAGTCACAACTTTTCATCTGCACTGATCTGGGTTGGATGTGAAAGGTTTTGTATCCTATTAACAATCTCCTGAGCTAACCAGCCCCTTAAATGTGATTACAAGGATCACGCATCTAAGACCTTCAAAAGGGGTTACGGAGCTCTTTTGATCAACGAAAGAAAATATCTGCCAAAGCTCGGGGTTGCCTCAGAGAAATCTATGCATTCAATAAATAACTCATGCTTTTGGGCATGCTCGGTAATTCATTATGGTGGATGGTATTTATGATCAAAGGAATAATAAGCTAGCTGTAGCAAACTATGTGGTGGTTTTCCTAGAGGATATTTACTCAAGTGTCGCAGGAAGTATTGTTTCTCTGTAATAAACACCAAAAGGGGAGGAGTTCCTCATATTTGCTCCAGGCTGTGCTCAGTTAAGCAGCCAGAGAGGTCAAAAAGCAGTTCCCCAGAGAGGTAAGTTCTTTAATTCTTATAGTGGTGGTCTCTCTTCTGCTAGTTAAACGTGCTTGTTTGGTTTTTTTAAGTTTTCCATTTATGTATCTGCTGATCTTTTTATGCGTCAGTTTTTATTTGCATATGTACATAATTAGCCATCAAAAGACCTCCTTGTGGGTAGAATAGTATTAAAAGCTCACTTATAAAGAAAAGACAACAGATGAAAAGAGGGAACATGTGCCTTAGGTTCCACAAGCCCTCCATAGCCGTGCTGTGCCCAACTGCAGGAGGACCTCCTTTTGTAGGGGGTCCACAGTTTCCAGAACAGCAGAATCCTGCCTTTATTTGGATGTAGTAAGGACTTCCACAATACAGGAAATACTTTATTATATATAACATAGTCTTTATTTGGTGCCTTAATCACTAGAGCATCTTTGCCATTAGAAGACTCTGGGAAAGTAAAAGTCTGAGTTTATAAGTTCTGAAGCAAAAGAGGTCTAATTCTCCTTATGTATGCTTCTGGTCCATTATGTTACAATGAAAAATAAGACTTATTCTATAAGCGATTGTCTAGTATGATCTAATTTTGAAGATGCTATGAAAGGGTTCCTGTTCACACTACACACAGTAACTTAAAAATATTTTTCAGACTCACACCTACAATATTTCTAATGAAGTTAAAAACTACATTGAAAAGCGAGGAGAGAGTCTGAAACTGATGAAATTGCAATCTGTTAAAAAGATAGTGTAATATAGATGCTGTCTCATGGCATTAAGCACAACTTAACCTCATACCAGGTATAGCTGGCGATGAGGACACTTAATTTATCTTTTAAAATATATCTAGATATTGCCAATACATAACACTTGCCCTGAATAATTTCAGATATACTTGGAGTTTAAAATATATCTAGATATTGCCAATACATCAACACTTGCCCTGAATAATTTCAGATGAATTTGGATGGAGAGTGAGCATATACCCATGTTCTCTCAGGAATGTTGAAATTTCATCTGGAGGGCTTCATAGAGAAAAGTAATGAATGTTTGGGAAAAAGGAGGGGAAAAAGCCAAGGCGTGTTGAGGTGGAGAAAGAAGAACATAAAGAGGTGAAATAAAGGGAAAGGAGAAGGCTGCATGACACTGAATGTCACTTAATCACCTCATGCCTAGGTTTTCCAGCATTAGTGTTTATTTGACACAGATTGTCATTAACTAAGGACTGAACTCCTTGTTTGACCACTGCCTACCTCTGTAGGCCTCAGAGGTTGTTTGTGACTTTTACTGTTTTAAACTAGGATCTTTTCCGCAGCAACAGGCTGTCATTACTTACGCATCCCTCAGGATCATCTAAAGGTACTAGGTTTTGGGAGTTTCACACACCAGTTCACCTGAATAATTAATTATTGCAGAAGACCAGAGTGTGTACAACACTTCACCCCAAATGGACTCAGTGAGGTGAGCTCATCATGGATTTTTGCCTTTGAGGCCCCTTTGACAGAAGACAGAGCACTCACTGGGAATTTCAGGCCTTCAGAGGTAAGGGACAGTGACTTTGGCACACAGATATCAAGAAGCAGACAAGGTGGGCAGCAGTAATTCTGTTTTCAGACAGCACTGCTAGAAGTGGAAAGGGACATACGAACCAATCGCTGCAGTTATTCTCTTTTCTGGCTCCTAAGACTGTGTCTAAGCACTTCTCAGCTCCTTGCTCCAGGCCTTGGGCGCACGCCAGCTCTGGGAGGAGAGGTGAGAGTACACACCATCCCTTTTGTACCCAGCTCCCCACTGAGGGGCTTTGAGACCTTTCTCATGGCGCACTCCGGTCAAACTTCTGCAGGATGGGTGGATTAGACTGTCACGCTTCTGCATGTGACCTGCCATCCAGCCAGACACCCAGCCTGACGGCACTGGATGCTAGGTACTCCTAAGCACAACTAAAATCAATGAGAGTTTGGCTCGGGGAGGGGGAAGCTTTAACAAATGCCTCTCATGTAGCAATTCAAGCCTAAAAAATACAGGGGTTTTTACAGCTGAGGCCCCTATTCTGTTAGTGCTTCCAACCCCGATTATAAAAAAGGGATTATAAAACTAGGAAGCTCATATTTGTGTTTTTATAGGGTCTCAAGCAGGGGAGGGGGAAAGGTTATGAAGGGACAGAGCAGCCAGCAATGAAAGGAGTTAATAAAGACTATATGGCACCTTAAACTTTCCCTCATAAATTCCTATGTGCACAATGCTGTGCACACTCTAAAAATGTTAACAAGTTTTATACAGTAAAGAAATGGTGCTTTGATGAAGGGAATTAAGGAGGCCTCTCGTCCTTACAAATATCTGTCTCATAGCTGTTTAGCTTTGGGGTTTAAGAATATAGAAGTTTCTATCGATTATTTTACCACAATGAGGAATTCTATACGGCTTCTTGTCCTTGTAATTTCTTTGATACCAGCTCTGGGAGGAGAGGTGAGAGTACACACCATCCCTTTTGTACCCAGCTCCCCACTGAGGGGCTTTGAGACCTTTTTCATGGCACACTCCAGTCAAAATTCTGCAGGATGGGAGGATTAGACTGTCACGCTTCTGCATGTGACCTGCCATCCATCCAGACACACAGCCTGACGGCACTGGGTGCTAGGTACTCCTAAGCACAACTAAAATCAATAAGAGTTTGGCTTGGGGAGGGGGAAGCTTTCACAAATGCTTCTCATGTAGCAATGCAAGCCTGAAAAATACGGGTGAGGATTAGACTGTCACGCTTCTGCATGTGACCTGCCATCCATCCAGACACACAGCCTGACGGCACTGGGTGCTAGGTACTCCTAAGCACAACTAAAATCAATGAGAGTTTGGCTCGGGGAGGGGGAAGCTTTAACAAATGCCTCTCATGTAGCAATTCAAGCCTAAAAAATACAGGGGTTTTTACAGCTGAGGCCCCTATTCTGTTAGTGCTTCCAACCCCGATTATAAAAAAGGGATTATAAAACTAGGAAGCTCATATTTGTGTTTTTATAGGGTCTCAAGCAGGGGAGGAGGAAAGGTTATGAAGGGACAGAGCAGCCAGCAATGAAAGGAGTTAATAAAGACTATATGGCACCTTAAACTTTCCCTCATAAATTCCTATGTGCACAATGCTGTGCACACTCTAAAAATGTTAACAAGTTTTATACAGTAAAGAAATGGTGCTTTGATGAAGGGAATTAAGGAGGCCTCTCGTCCTTACAAATATCTGTGTCATAGCTGTTTAGCTTTGGGGTTTAAGAATATAGAAGTTTCTATTGATTATTTTACCACAATGAGGAATTCTATGCAGCTTCTTGTCCTTGTAATTTCTTTGATGGATTAGACTGTCACGCTTCTGCATGTGACCTGCCATCCAGCCAGACACCCAGCCTGACGGCACTGGATGCTAGGTACTCCTAAGCACAACTAAAATCAATGAGAGTTTGGCTCGGGGAGGGGGAAGCTTTAACAAATGCCTCTCATGTAGCAATTCAAGCCTAAAAAATACAGGGGTTTTTACAGCTGAGGCCCCTATTCTGTTAGTGCTTCCAACCCCGATTATAAAAAAGGGATTATAAAACTAGGAAGCTCATATTTGTGTTTTTATAGGGTCTCAAGCAGGGGAGGGGGAAAGGTTATGAAGGGACAGAGCAGCCAGCAATGAAAGGAGTTAATAAAGACTATACGGCACCTTAAACTTTCCCTCATAAATTCCTATGTGCACAATGCTGTGCACACTCTAAAAATGTTAACAAGTTTTATACAGTAAAGAAATGGTGCTTTGATGAAGGGAATTAAGGAGGCCTCTCGTCCTTACAAATATCTGTCTCATAGCTGTTTAGCTTTGGGGTTTAAGAATATAGAAGTTTCTATCGATTATTTTACCACAATGAGGAATTCTATACGGCTTCTTGTCCTTGTAATTTCTTTGATATCTGGGATGAGATAAGTAGCCTTCCCCATCGCGAATATATTCACATGGAAAGTCCATCCATGAACTGCCTGGTCTCGACTCTGCTTTCAGGAAAGGCACAGAACATAGATAGCTCTGAAACAATTCCACTGCTGAAAGCAAAAACCAGGTCCAAATGTTATTAGTAAAATGGAAGGAGACAAACTCAACACGATATTCACATGGAAAGTCCATCCATGAACTGCCTGGTCTCGACTCTGCTTTCAGGAAAGGCACAGAACATAGATAGCTCTGAAACAATTCCACTGCTGAAAGCAAAAACCAGGTCCAAATGTTATTAGTAAAATGGAAGGAGACAAACTCAACACGACAGAAGTCTCCAATGGAGGCACACGCTCCCTGGTGCTGATTGAAGTTCGGCTGCTTCTTCGCAGCAGATGTGGCAGGGGTCCTCCAAAGAAAACCTAAGCAGCATAATTAAAGACTGGCTTGTGTGTCACACAGGAGCTCTACTGATAAAATTCATCCATTTCCCAACTTTGGAGTACTTTGTCTTGCAACTTCACCCTGCTACTGTGGTTATGTTGTGCTGCCGCGGCGCTGTCACCTCTCTGCGATGGGTAATAACGTGACCTGTGTGCACGCAGCAGATCTCAATTATTTTTAGCGGACCAGGCTAAGTCCATTAGGTTTAGGCAGGGCAGCGCGGCCACCGGCCGTCCCAGGGCAACCACTCCCGGCTCTCCCTTACTAAATCCCCAGCCTCCCCGGATGCTCCCCGGCCCACACGGGTGTAATCCCCCGTTGGGTGCACCGGGCCCGGCTCTGGACGCGGTCGTGCCGCCATCCCAGGTTGGTTGTGGCCCACCCGGCCCGGCTGGACGCTCAGCCATTGCCCGGGAGGGGAGGCCAGGCTGGGCCAGGCCGCCCCGGCCCCCCCCGCCGCGCCTTGCCCGGGGCGGGCCGAGCCCTCCCGGCTTTGCCGGCGCTTGAGGGGGATTAAGCGGGGCAAACCGCTCATCCGCCGCTGACCCCGAGGGGGGACCGTGG